CTTTGTGTAACACCTGAGTTCTTACCCTACTGTTTCATGTCAAAATGGCTGCTGGGGGAAAAGCGGAAGAAGGGTCTATTATGGCAATTTGGTGGTGATCTTGTTAGGAGTTACTATACAAATCAATCTCACGTTTTACAAAGTTAAAGGTGAAAATTCTGAAAGGAGTAAAGAGGTTTGTGTGAGGAGAGAGGAGGAGAGAGAGAAGGAGAGACCAAACCTCTGTCCCTGGTGTGGGTGGTGTTACTCGGGATGCGTAAGGATGCCCTTAAGCCCAAAGGGTTGCTCGAATGTGTTTTGGTATTTTAGTGTTGTAGTCGATCATACCTATGCCCAATTGATCTATATGCAAAAAGTCAGAATCGTATTAATATTCCTGATTTTAAAGTAGGTTTACTGGTAGATTTATGAATTTGTCCATTACACATAGTGCCTGCTTCATGTATATGTATCAGTTCACTAAACCTCCAATCTATGCTTGCGCAGTTTTAAAATTTAAATAATGTTACTTTCAATCTCTCAAAAACGTACATGTAAGTCATCGTATGTTAGAGGCATACCTGATATTAGAAAGTGTTTTAAGGAACGCTAAGTGATCGGAGGGAACCAACACACACACGGTGCATATGACGGGGGAGCTCCGTTCCATTTAGTGTAGCAGAGCCTTTTCACTCTGACTGTTTGACCTGAAATTAACAGAACCTTAATTAGTATCATTGGTAACACCTGTTTATTTCAAGTCAAAATGGCTGCTGTGGAAAAGGTCTATAAAAACCTTTTCTCTCCTTCCATCAAGTCCATTAGGGCATCTCTGAATCACGAGGGTCGCAGTTGGAATTAATGTCACTGAATTTTCCGTAGACACAGTGAATGAAGAACATCAAGAAAACTGTTTGGTGCAAATATATTTTAATTATAGGCCTGGAAATTAAATCAAATCACACGTTCTCATCAATTAATTTCTCTTTCCAACAATTATTGATCACGACTAACTGTTTTCCAGGCTGATTGAGGTAGAGTGCTGAAACTATTCCAGCACATCAATCAATCGTAATTCTTTAACATAAAATACTGAAGGGGAGAAAAAAAAAATTAAAACCAAAGACATCGATAAAAATGTAAAATGTACGAGTGGTTGAGTGACACTGAAACAGTCCTCTAGTGAGAGTTTAACCAGGTATCACAGGCAAACCAGGTCCCTTAAGGATCAGAGGAATAGGAGCTGCTTTGGTGTGGACATTATGGCTGGCAAACAACCAATAACAAAGATTTTCCTAGCATTACAGTATATCCACAGACATGTCACTGGTGATGAAAACATTTTAGTCCTACTCATGACGGACACACAGGCGTGGTGGTGTGGTGAATGAAAGGCTGCTAAAAACTCTGTCCTTGATGACTACTGCTGTCCTATAACAGTGATTCTGTAAATAAAAATGTTTAAATAAAAACAGCGATTAAATACAGTCTGAAGAGCTGCACTTGCAATTATTTCCTCACCTCAGTGCTGGTGCCACATGGTCATCAACCAGCAGGGCCTTTTGTAGAAAACGTGCACCGTGATAACTGAAGATATTGAGGGGTGTTAAAAATGAGGCTTGGGCTTTCATGCAGACGGGCTGAAGCCGTTGGACCCTTCGCTAACAAGGTAAGTTTAGTGTAAAATGTCATGCAACAGTACGACCTGTGTAGGCTGCAGTTGACAATTGGCAAATTAAAAACACTGAACCATCCTGTTATTCTTCTTTTGAAGGAAAAACAACATTGATTCATAACTTTTAAGCTTTATCCCACTTCTTCCCGTAACTGTTCTTCCTGTTTGAAGAGGCCTTGACGATGTCACTGTTCACATCAGACGGCGCTCACAAGAGACAAACAAAGGGGTCGAGATATCTTTCACCTTGTGCTTTTTAACAGTAAATCAACAGTTTAATGCTGCATTACCGCCCTGTAGTATTCATCTTCTTTTCTTGATTTCTGGGTAAATATTCAGCATGTGGAGCAGGATGCGGTCGACTGTCAGTGTATGAAGTCAAGCTCTGAACACAAATTGGTCTCTTTATCCTTTTGACTGTGCATTGAGAGCAGAGAACATACGAAGGGAAGAACTGTGACGCAGCTTAAGTCTTCTGAAACTATGATGACTGATAAAACAGCTTCAGTTTGTCACTACAAGTCACAGGATATTTATAGTATTTGATCAGCACTACTTTGTGTTTGAAGTCAAAGTATGCGCCAAAACAAAACTGCACTTTGTCAATTTCATGTTTAAGAAACAATGCTGAAAACGGCTCGCACATAAAGAAAAAAATTGAAAAAATTACATGAAGGCGCTTACATAACACTGAAATACAAATAACTATGGGTGCCTGAGTGGTTTAATTTACTCTGACAGGATTGTGAGATTAACAACATGACTGTACTTCTCAAGACCACAGAGACACCCTCCATAGCTCAAATAAAGGTTGTATGCTAGAAACACACACACAGCCTGATGTTATTATTTAAAGGTGGCAGGTGGACTTGGGTCATATTGCTACTTGAAACTGATTTAATTAAATTTCAATAATCTATCCTGCCTTCCTCAAAACGGCACACTGCACCCATCTTGCGCACAAAATAAAATAAAAAATTAAACATAAAAGTAACTGAAATTATTCTAATTAACAACTGACCCAAGTCTGGTTGCTTGTGGTAGACTCAGGGCCTTGTGGATCTCTCATGGAGACCAGAACCTGTGGATTTATTTAGCTGCCAAAGCCAAAGATGCCCTTGATGTAGCCGGTGAGACCGCCCTTGCCCTTCTGTTCCACCTTGTCATCCAGGGGTGGGAAGGCCACGTGGTTGAGAGCAAGGTCAAAGAACAGTGGCTTGCAGGGAATTGGCTGGAAATCAGGAGGGAACTGAACCAGATTGGGCTGTTTTCCTACGAGAGCGGGGTCGAGGCGGAAAGTCTCCAGGCGGTTGCAGAGTGGCTGCGTGAAGGAGGAAGAAGTTAAAAAGTGAGCATCAGCTCTGAGTCTACAATAAATTTCCCCTTTGATTGTTAACATTTATCATATTGGTGTGGCGTGTCTCTTGATTTTGTCCTCTTACCGTGTTGTCTTTCACCTGCTGCTGAGAGGGAACTTCAGCAGTCTCATCAGTGTCTGAAACACAAACATTGCCTAAGGGTTGTACACAGAACGAGGCAGAACAGAACAGGACTAAATGGTACACATAAATAAGCTGACGAGAATACTTTCAGTTCCAAAAGGTGCTCTCACCTAAAATGGCAGCAGCTTGAAGAGAGTATTTTTCAGCGTTGACCTCAGCAATGAGCTCCTGAACGTCAGGGAGATCCTGCAGAAACCAGAGAAACGACAGTGATGTTTCTGGTCGACAACAGATGTTCTGTCACTGTTCCTTTATGTGTGGTGTGTTTGTCAACAGGTGTGTACGGAGATCTTTTCAAGATGGATTGGAAATTAAACTGTGTAATATTGAGAAGTTCCCAGCACTAATGCGTGTGCCTGTCAACGTTTGTGCTCCTGAGAGAAAGCGAAAAACACATGCTGGGTAGTCTCATTTTTAAATCGTGGCATTCGTGTGTTTTTAAATGACAAACCTTGAGGCTGTTGTTAAAGGTCTTGGCCTTAGACTTGACCTCCTTGGCGTATTTCAGAACCCTCTCATACAGCACCAGCGCCTCGCTCCACTTCTTCACCAGCACATAGGACTGGGCTATGAAGAAACATCTGAGAGGGGTACGGAGGAAAGAACCACATCAACAATACATGAGTATGTATTCATGTATAGGGAGGGTTTTATTATTTGAAGTAAGACAAAAAGGACAAATTTTCAGCTGAACATTTGAGTCTTAGTTGTATTTTTTGATTAGGGTGCAGGTAAAGCATTCAAACCAAAAATGTCTGACCTATAGGCCTTGTAGACCAGGGTCTTGAGGGACACCTCCTTCTGGAAGCTGTGGTCATCCTCCAGACCCTGCAGGGTTGAGAGCTCAGCCAGGCTCTGGAGAGACGGACAAACAAGAGGAAGTTTACTGAGGTGAGATAGACAGAAAGATAGTGAGTTACAATGTGAGAAGGAACTGACAGAGACTAGCAAACAAGACTAAGTACACATTCCTTCACTGTTGACAACACAGATCAAACAAGTCACACACAGAAACTGGCAACTAAAAACAATTGTTGACTAAACATACTAACTGAAATACATGCTGCTGTTGTATTTTATTATATCTTATCATGAGATTAGAAGTACACATGTCTAACTTTATTGTTAAACTTCTTCATAGATACAGAACCTTATTATAGGGCTGCCTCCTAATAGTCGAC